TATGTATAGTTAAAATTTACAAAAGAAAATTATATATATATAGATATTTTTAATCATATCAAATATATTTTAAACTTAAGATAAATAAATAATTTTTATATATTAAATACGAACTTCTATCTTGCATTAAAACATTTTTAAGGACTTTTTCTCGATAAGAGAATTTATAGAAAATTTTAATTTCTTATTTAATTTGATTTTTATTTATCATAATTATTTATGAATTATATTTTTAAATAAATTATTAATAAATAATAATATTATACTACCATATAAATTAGTTATCATAAATTAAAATATAATTTATATATTTTTAAAGTTATATATTTATATAAATTTTAAATATAATTCATATATTAAACATAATATTTATTAAATTTTAGTTATATATAATATATATTTAATATTTACATTGCACAAGATAAAATACTAGTTTATATCAAACACAAAATGTGTATAAATACATATTTTTAAATATATAAAATATTTTTTAAATTTAAGACAAAAAATTTATATCACGACACAATTTATATTGATTGTGATTTAACATAAATAGATAACATGATGATAATTAATATTTAATAATATTTAGGGTAAATTGTATTGTATGTTCTTAAATTTTTTTATCTGTTTTCAATAAATTAATTAAATCAAAATATTTAACTAAATTATCAAATTTCGCATAAGACATGTCAAAGTTTAGTACAACGAGATATGAGAACAATAGAATTAAAACTACAAGCTAAATTGTACTTTTGGTCTTCTTATAATCTTTAATACCTAATTTTCGTCCTTCTTTTAATCCAATTTTAGTTTATGAAAGATGATGTGATGTCAATGTTAACCTAGACTATTATGTGTCACTTTAATGATAAAGTGATGGCTAACATGAATTGATGAGGTGTAGAAGTTTTAAAATGGGTCAAACCTAAGGATGTAAATGGATACGGATAACCTGTGAATCTAAACTAACCATTAGTGGAAAAAACACTTTTAAAATCGGTCATTTTTTACTTTTAAAATCGGTTCTCGAACCGATTTTAAAAGAGCCAATTTTAAAAAGTGGAACTTTTAACATCGGTGCTGACCGATTTTAAAAGCGAGACTTTTAAAATCGGTTAACAATGACCGATTTTAAAAGTCTCACTTTTAAAATCGGTCAACAGGTGAATGGGAGTCTTATGGCAGAAGTATCTATGGGTAGGGGATTAAAGCAAGGTGATCCGTTGGCACCATCTATGTTCTTAATTGCTGCGGAAGGCCTTAGACTGTTGATGAGTAGGGCTTTAGAGATGAATCTGTTTAAGGGATTACACTTAGGCGGTGAAGGTCCACCGATTTCTCTTTTACAGTTCGCGGATGATACTCTAATTATTGGAAAAGCTACTATGCAGAATCTGTGGTGCTTAAAGGCCATCTTGCGCTGTTTCGAGTTAATTTCAGGCATGAAAATTAATTTCCACAAGAGTTGCGTGGTCAGTATTCATTCTGGGGAAGATTTCACTAACTTGGCGGCTGCTTTTGTACATTGCAAGGTGGGTCAACTACCGTTTAAGCATTTGGGCTTACCTCTTGGTGCTAATCCTAGGAAGTTGTCTACTTGGAAACCAATGCTTGATGGCTTACGAAAGCGTCTATCCTCTTGGAAGCATAAGTATTTATCAGTGACCTTAATTAATTCGGTTTTGAATGCTATGCCCATCCATTTCCTTTCATTTTTTAAAGCTCCAAACTCGGTGATTAAGGAAATTGTGGCCATCCAACGTGATTTCTTGTGGAGAGGTGTCAAGGATGGCTCGCAAATTCCTTGGGTAAAATGGGAAACGGTGTGTAAGTCAAAGGTTGAGGGTGGACTGGGAATCAAAGATGTCAAATTGTTCAATTGGGCACTACTAGGGAAATGGGTGTGGAGGTGCATGCTCTCTCCGGGTATGTTGTGGGCTAAAGTTCTTCATGATAGGTATGATCGTATTGAGTCCTTTTCAAATTAACTAAATTACTTTTCTCTACTACTTGTCACCCACAAACTGATGGGCAGACAGAAGTAGTTAATAGATCCCTATCTACAATGTTAAGGGCAGTCCTTAAGGGTAACCATAAATCTTGGGATGAGTACTTGCCCCACATTGAATTTGCTTACAACAGGGTAGTCCATAAGACTACCAAAATCTCACCTTTTGAGGTTGTTATTGGCGAATAGATTGCGTGGTATTCTTCCATCAATCATCTCAGAGAATCAGTCTGCTTTTATTCCTGGTAGACATATGTTGGACAGTGTTCTAGTTGCTTCTGAGGCTATTGATTACGCTCAGAAATATAAGAAGCCAATTTTTGTTATGAAGATTGATTATGAGAAGGCATATGACTCTGTGGAATGGGACTACCTGTTGTTCATGCTCCGAGGGTGTGGTTTTCACGAGAGATGGGTCCGATGGATGGAAGCTTGTGTATGTGGGGGAAGCCTATCAACCCTTGTGAATGGGAGTCCTACGGCAGAAGTATCTATGGGTAGGGGATTAAAGCAGGGTGATCCGTTGGCACCATCTATGTTCTTAATTGCTGCGGAAGGCCTTAGACTGTTGATGAGTAGGGCTTTAGAGATGAATCTGTTTAAGGGATTACACTTAGGCGGTGAAGGTCCACCGATTTCTCTTTTACAGTTCGCGGTTGATACTCTGATTATTGGAGAAGCTACTATGCAGAATCTGTGGTGCTTAAAAGGCCATCTTGCGCTGTTTCGAGTTAATTTCAGGCATGAAAATTAATTTCCACAAGAGTTGCGTGGTCAGTATTCTCATACATACAAGGGGTCTAATTTTCTAAGTTAGGTACCTAAACAGGAACAGCCTGTTCCGGAATTCAAAAAATGCCTACATGTTTAGTCTGGAACGGCCCCATAACGGCCCGTACTGCTTGTAGAACGGCCCGTACTGCAAGCAGAACGGGATGTTCTGGGGCCGTTCCAGACACAAATTTCGCCCAACAACAACGAAATAAGAGACAATAGAAGAAAATGTTACCTTAATCTTGTATTATTCTGAGGAAATGAGAAGCTGCACACTTTAGATGAGATTCCGATAGAGTAAAGAGAGGAATATATGAACTTATTGAAGGCAAAGAGTAGAGAATATGGAGTTTGGGGGAGAATGGGAGCCAGATAGAAATTTAACTCTGTGATAATACTTTTAAAATCGGTTGTTCAATAACCGATTTTAAAAAGTGATACTTTTAAAATCGGCTACTGGAAACCGATTTTAAAAGTGGACTTATAAAATCGGTCTTCAATAGCTGATTTTAAAAGTGAAACTTTTAAAATCGGTCTTCAAGAACCGATTTTAAAAGTAACGTCAGAAACTTTTAAAATCGGTTATAACGTAACCGATTTTAAAAGTAATGTCATTATTTACGAAATTACCACCGCGTCACTTTTAAAATCGGTTACCTTATAACCAATTTTAAAATCCCGATTTTAAAAGTCATTTTTGTACTAGTGAACCCAAACCAATCCAATAAATTTGGGCCAAATTTTTCTAGTGTTGAGATTAAATTCAATTCAATCCAATCAAAACATGACACTGTATGTATCGAGCAAATGTTAATCAAAGCAAGTTTATCATACCTGATTCTCTTTATAATGAACAAAAAGGATTCAAACATAAGATATTAAGACCAAATTGTGTTGCCTTATAGCACTTGGTCGTGCCCTATTTTCAATTTGATAGACATTAATAAGCAGTATTACTGATATTGGTTCTCCAATTCCAATTATGTTTTTAACAGAATAAATATATACAAAATAAATTGTAGTTAGGATTTTTTTATATATGTTGATGTTAAATAAAACTAAATTTACTAATTATTATTAATATGATTGCATAGAAAATTCAATTAAGATATTGTATGGAAAAAAATATTCATTTTCCTTTTATTTTAAAGGTTTTGAATTGGATAAGTTCAAATAAATAATGATTTTGACATTTGACCTTATTTTATTACTTTTTTATTTTAGTTTTACTCATTAATTAATATTATCAAATTTATTTATTTATAGTTTATATTAATACACGTATATACATATTCATATATAATACAAAAATACAAATGAAAAATCTATTTAAATATAAATAATCTTTTTTTGAAAAACAAATTAAATATTTGTTTCGTTTAATATATCACGAGTATGGTCTATATTTATATTAACTCTATCTATTATTTAAGTATATTTTTCTCGTCGAAATTGTCCAAAGTCTATGCCCTTTTGAATCTAATTATAGACTCATGTCACTGATGTCAGTATAAAATAATACTTGTTTCGTCTTGCTTGGCAAATTACTATATATCAGTTTTGAATGAGTTCTTTAATTTGAATAATGTCTACAAATATCCTGAATTGACTTAAAGACAACAATTTTAACAATTTATAATATCAGATAATCTTACATCTTTAATTCTTGATTGTTTCAATATTTGAATTAACTTCTCTTATAGACACGAACAATATAAAGTATAAACCATTATTTTATCTTCTTTTTTTTTCATTAAAAAATCTTATGATAATTCAATTTAAACAGGTAAAATAATGTGTTGTAAATTTTTTTCATTGCAAAAAATATTACATATAGTGAAATACAAAAATGTTTTTATATATAAGTACAAAATATATATGGATAAATTCATTTAATATATAATTAACTACACATAATTTTATTATTGATTTTAAATAAAATTTAATAATATATATTATGTATTATTATAATTTATATCTATATTTTTTTAATAATATATGAACTATATTATATATATAGTGTAAATAAAAATAATTTTAATAATAATTATTTTGTTAGTATAAAATATGTTATTATATAAAAAAAATTTAAGTGTCAGTGAAATTAATTTGCATGGCAACAAATATTGTAGCGGCGGTAAAAGGTGTTGTGGTGTACAATTTGAAACCATACAATTCAACAAGTATTCATTGACTATCTAAGGGAGTCGACACAATTCATGAACATATATACAATGATATTAACATCATGTAAAGAATCAGTTATTATAAGTTCAATACAACGTCCTAGGAACTTGTCCAAAGCAGTGACAACATGCAAAAACATTAGTTCACCTCATTCAAAATGAGTAGAAGCCATCCAAACTAACTTCTCTTACTTGTCCCCTTGGATGCATATATCTCCGAATAAGGTAAATCTCTAGCAGTGACCTCAAAACACATACCAGAGTCAAAGCAAGAGCTCCTGGGACTGTAAACCATATGAGAGGCAGCTTGAAGAAACCGCAAGTCACACCAACTCTTGATGCCATGCCCACAAGATCCGGAACATAATAGCATGGTGCCACTATTAATGTTAGGACGATAAAAATCTGCAATACTGGATGAAGTGGACAAACAAGCCACAAAATCAGCAGATAACACAATATTATCATCATTGTATCTACTATTAGTGGGAAGAATTCCCTAAAGGCTTCCCCAAAGCCCAGTTGTATTAACTGTGTTGCTGCCTCATGAGAGTTTACAAATTTTGAATCAAATTGGAGTATCAATTTTTCTCCTCGATTTCTTAGGATACTTGAACACAATATGTGCAATGCCACGAGAAATCTGGGAGAAATGAGAAATACACTGTAGAACATGGAACGTAAATATTCCATAAATCCCAAAGCTCTCTTGGTTATGATCAAATCCTTAGAAGAAGTGGGTAGACATTTGGGGTTTACCTGACAAAAGCAAAAAAAATACAATCAGTTAGTATATTTATCCTATTATAAATACATAAAATGAAAATGACTCACCCTTGCTCTATTCCTTCGTCGAAGTATTTCTTGATGTTGTATGTTAGAAAGCATAAGCCACAAGTCCCCCTTACATGTAAGGATTTCTTCCTCGGGTGATTCAGCATCAATATCTTCTACTTATATATCATCTCGAGGCAATTCGTCTGACTGTATCCAAATAGCTGTTTGAAAACCCAAATGTGTAATTAAGCTCCAGAAGAGTGGAGCACCACCCGAACTTAAAAAATTTCTTCTACTTTGAATCAAACAACTATTATTAATCTATTATAGTTTCTTGCAACAGTTAATGTTATTAATTATCAGATACATACACAGAAGCAAGTCAAAGCAAAATTGATCGCTTTTCATTAGCTTTGAAGAGAAAAAAACTTAATTAAGCTGAGAGATCTGGCTGATCGATTGCCTATGCACCTGATTTTGGAATTTATGCTCAAATGGTTTATAGATTGTTCTCTAAATTTAAAGAAAAAATATTTTGAAGAGATCAGGTTTCAAAGTCTTCAAATAAGTCATTTCATCCGAAGACAAGAATGCATAGATGAAGATGGAAACCTGGAAGTGCATTTACGCAAGGTTAAGATATGCATGCTCATAAGAAAAGAAGGATGCAATTTTATAGATACTACCCTAATTGACAGTTGTCTACTTATGCTTCTCGTATATTCAATATCATAAATTGTTTTGGGGTCTACCATGAAGGTAGAGGAATATGGCTTTGGAGTCTAATATTCACATGCAGTGCACCGCATTCAATTCATATGAGGTTTGATTTAACATTTTTCTGAATTCGTATGACAGCACAATGATGGACAATCTGATTTTAGAAAAACAATTACGACAGTTAATATTAAATAACATAGACATCATGATCAAACAAGTAAAGTGCACATATCAAGAAATTGGTTTTTATTTACTTACCTGATTGGATGCGTGGTCGTGCTGTATCTGCAAGCATTAACAAATATAGTATGTGTTAGTTATCTAACATCAACATTGTTAATGATAAAAGGCATAAATTTGGGAGCAAAACAAACTCTCTATGTTCTCATTCATATTCCAAAAGAAATATTACACTTATTTATAGCAGAAAGATAAAACAACGTTTACAATTTTAAATGTCTCTCATAATTAACACCATTAATATTATTAAAGCAAAAACATAACTCCTAATTTAAGTTTCATAACAAATCTCCCCCTTAAACTTAAATGCTTTTCCCATCTCTCATTCCAATCAGCTTTTTGCAATTCTCCAGCAATGTAGTTGGCAGTGGCTTGGTAAATATATCTGCTGCTTGAACTCGGCTTCCGACATGCTCCAACTCGACTTTTCCTTGTCTGATCTGCTCTCGGATGAAATGAAATCGGACGTCGATGTGCTTGCTCCTTCCATGATTAACCGGGTTCTTTGCCAACTCGATTGCCGACTTGTTATCAACTCGGATTACAATCGCTTCATCTCGGATCACTCCCATATGCCTCCGTAAATTTGAAAGCCAAACTGCATGACATACACTCCAAGATGCCGCCACGTACTCGGCCTCGCAGGTCGACAGAGTTACAATAGGCTGCTTCTTTGACAGCCAAGTAAAAGTTGTATTCCCGAGTAGAAATACATAACCCGAGGTACTTTTCCGATCATCAACATCTCCACACCAATCACTGTCCGAGTAACCCACTAATCGGTAGTCGTCCGATTTTGAATAGAAAAGACCAAGTGATAGGCTTCCTCGTACATATCTCAAAATTCTCTTCAAGGCCTTCCAATGTGTGTAGCTCGGATCCTCCATGAATCTGCTCGTTATCCCAACACTCAACATTAAGTCGGGTCTCGTGCTTGTAAGGTACCTCAGACTTCCGACTAAGCTCCGATATCTCCCAGAATCAGCTCGATCTCCTCCATCAAACTTTGAAAGTTTTGTGCCTGGTTCCATTGGAGTAGAAACCGGATTGCAATCCTCCATTTTAAACTTCTTTAGGATTTCAAGTGCATACCTTTCTTGGGATATAAAAATCCCTTCATCCGATTGCTTCACTTCTAGGCCAAGAAAATATTTCATCAGGCCTAAGTCAGTCATCTCGAACTCCTTTTCCATTATCTCCTTGAACTCCTTAATCAGTTTAGCATTACTTCCAGTGAATATGAGGTCGTCGACATAGAGAGCAACTACCATCATATCTTTTCCTGAGTTCTTTATGTATAAGGCATGCTCGTACGGACATTGCTCATACCCGTTCTTCTTGAAATACCCATCAATCCTTTCATTCCAAGCACGAGGAGCTTGCTTCAACCCGTAGAGGGCTTTTCTCAATCTCAGCACCTTCTTTTCTTCTCCTCTCTTCATGTACCCGAGTGGTTGCTCAACATACACCTCCTCCTTCAGCACTCCATTTAGAAAGGCTGACTTCACATCCATCTGTAGAATGTTCCATTGTCTCTGAGCAGCTAACAAGATCAGAAGTCGGATTGACTCCATTCTCGTGACAGGAGCAAAAACCTCATCATAGTCAACTCCTTCCTTTTGTTTATAGCCCTACACAACAAGCCGAGCTTTATAACGATCAACCTCTCCCTCAACATTCAACTTCTTTTTGTACACCCATTTTACTCCAATGGGCCGAGCTCCTTCAGGAAGGTTGGTCAATTCTCAAGTTTTATTACATTCAATCGCTTCAAACTCCTCATCCATAGCTGTTCTCCACTTCTCATCTTGGACAACTTTCTCAAAACTCAAGTCTTCAGAGTCGGCAAGAAGACATACAGCATGGACTTCACTTGTAGTGTCGTAAATTTCCCTCAGGCTTCTCATCCTTAGCTTTTGTAGCTCGGATTCTTCATCTGAGAGCTCGGTCGTAGTTATTGTTGAAGGTACAACAATGTTCGAGCTGGTTTCTTCTTCGGCCGAGTTACTCCAACACCATTGCTTTGTTTCCTCCACGTGAACATCTCGGCTCACCACCACCTTTTTGTTATCAGGATCAAATAACTTGTATGCTTTGGATTTTTCATCATATCCAATAAATATATACTTCTTGCTTCGATCTTCTAACTTTGTCCTCTGCTGTCTTGGTACTTGCCCATAGGCCAAGCTACCGAACACCCTAAGATGAGAAACACTTGGCTTCATGCCACTCCAGATCTCCTGAGGCGTCTTCTCTCCTAGCTTTGCATGTGGACATCTATTTTGCACATAGACTGCACACTGCACTGCCTCTGCCCAAAACTTCTTCGGCATATTCTTCCCTTTCAACATAGATCGAACCATATCAAGAATAGTTCGGTTCTTCCGTTCCGCTACACCATTTTGCTGCGGAGAATATGGGGCAGTCAAGAAACGCTTAATCCCATGTTCCTCGCAGTATTTGTTGAACTCAA